ATTGCAAAGCTAATGAACTGGAGAGATCAGACGGTACTAGGCTGGTTTGCAGTAAGCTCTTTAACAAGTTATAATATATTATATATACATTCATTTATTTGTTTTTTCAAAATGCGTTAATCTTTCTTTTTTTGCTACGCCTCTGTATCCTATAGGCTCCCGGACCCGAGGTCTTGGCACATTGTTCTAACCCACGAATAGCTTCTTCCTATTTTCGTACTATACAGTCATCTATGTTAAAAGTCATTGTAGCCAATTATTTAAAGTTACATACAGGTATCTCTTTTATAAATAAACTTTTAAAGTTTAGTTCAAATTGTTTGTTTAAATGTTTACTTAATGCGTAATTTCCATTAAATTTTAGAATACGACGTTAGAGAAATTACTCCTTCGATAGCACGCGAGTCATGCGCTTTATTTCAGGATCTTATCGGAATTATTGTTCAGAAAGTTCCGAAAATTACGGACTCCGTCAATCCTATTGCAATTAAAGATACAACGGCGCAATGTTATTTTTCAGCACCAAATTTATCAGAAGTTATGAATCTATTACAAAATTTAAATCGAGATGTTAAAGGTGATATTGTAGGGATGAGCATTTTACAAGGATTGGCGGATGTTTTACCAACCGGTGTTAATGGCCTGGGAATTAATGGCGGAACCACGAATTTTGTTTCATTAATGGATGATAGAGAGGATGATGATGAAGTTGGAGAATTATTTTCTATATATGGAAATGGTCATGGGTCGTCAAACAAGAAATCGAGAACAAGGAGGGCAAGCACCACGGATATAGTAGACGGTTTACCACGGCGGATGTCTTATTCAACTACTTCCGAAGATGTTGTTGAGGAGAATGGCAGGAAAAGAAAAGGTGTTGATACTGAGAATTATGGCAGGAACGCGTCAAAAAGGGTAAATATATATTGTTTATGTTTTATCTTTATATTATCTTATATTTTCTTTAATTATTTACGTAACGTGATTTCAGGTAAAAACGCCCTCAAACGAAGTAACTAACGTCATTCCTGCACCGTTCATGATCATTCCCGGACAAGGTTCGGAGTATCTACATGAGGCATTCGGTGAAGATAGGTTAGAAATAGATTATTTATTTATTTATTAATTTTTTAATAATAATCTTAATAATTGATATATTACTAATATCGTTTGTTGATAATTATAAAGTTTGCATTGCTCTACAGATTTTGATGAATCTTTAACATCTTCGTTCACGACGTCTTTATTTAATCCAATAAATGAATTAAATATTAGTAGAGCAATGAGTGCTATATCACATCATCTTATAACCTGCACAGAAGAGAAAATTTCTCTGTATGAAAAATCATGTAGAGAATATGAAATGTTGTTGGAAATACTTGAAGTACTGGATGGGGTTGATGATGAAGCAGCGTTATATAACAAATTGGAAAGTTGGATTGAGAATGCTGACGACGATGATGGAGAAGAAGTGATAACGGCTACAAACACAGTAAAGGTCGAATTGTATGCCGGGAATGATCACGAACAAGAAGCATCCGCCAAAAAGTCTACTACCGTTACGTGGTGTGAAAATGAAATAAGTAATGACGATTCTTTAAGTAATAGTAATGAAGTTGTTTCTGGAGAGGTAAGTTCTTCTTCTATTGAAGAGGGCGAAATCGATGAAGAAGAAATTGACAATACAATACCGCAAGTTTCCGATAACGACGAAGATGGTGAAGATGTTATAAAGAAAAAAGAGGAGAAATTGTTACCATCCCTTCATATTAAAAACACTTCTTTTAATAATCTAGAAAATAATAGTCCCGGGTGGGCATGGGATGAAGAAGAAATTGGGAATGAGGGATAACTATACAATGTTATACTAATTCCGTTATATTCATATACATCTAAACAAAATCATAAAGTATGTCTATTCTTTATTTACACATGTACAATACATACAAAAATATATAATGAATTTATACAATGTCAATTTAAAATGTTTGTAAATAATAAAAAAAAGTACGAGATCACTAGATCACTTGAAAAAGAAAATTAAAGTTATAAGAAAACTGCGCTATCAGATTAAAATCATGTGCGCGATCTGCACATGATCATCGATATCGATTACTCAAATTTCGCGTCTCAAAAAAAAAAACGCGAACAAGAGTTGTGTGACGTCAGTAAAATCACAGGGAATCTAGATAAAAAGTCCATATTATTGCATTTTCTCAATAAAATTTCTTAGTTGGTTTACTAGGTTTATTAGGTATGTATTAAAAGAACTTCATTTCAATTCGCGAATTAAGATAAGCCGCGTGTTGTCTAGTAACTTTCTTACAACAATATTTTTTGACGTAAACATCGAAGGACATTTTTTTAAAATTTTATTTAATGCTTTGTATATCAGTTTAAATAATTCAATATATAATATATATTTGTTTCAAAATCAACTAAAATCAACTTAAAGAAAGAACGTTTTAAAAATCAACTTTTCTGCATTGATCAAGGCCAAATTCATTAACAACACGTAAAAATGAAAGGTTTTAAAGCTTCAAGTCAAAGCATGCAACAATCCGACACGCAGGATCCTAAGATTATACGCCTTAATTCTCAACGTCCCTCTTCTCAACCACAAGATCTTAATATTCTACGACTCAATACTACTCAACCGCAAGATCTTAATATATTACACCTTAATGCTCAACGTCCTAATACGCATGGTGCTCAACTTCCGAATATTCAATATCCCAATATGCAATGTTTCAATGCTCAACGTCACAATGTTCTATCTTCTAATGCTCAGAAGCCTAATATGCAGCATCATCAACCTCTTAATACTCGAGATCCGAATGCTCAACGTTCTCATATGCAAGGTTCCTGTGGTCAACGAACTAATGATCAAGCTCAGCAATCTAATGCACAATCGTCTAATGTGCAACATCAAAATTTCAATACTAAACTTCCTAGTATTAAAGAATTAGGTATATCATGGGTAGCATCAGATGATTTTCATACTCAACGTCCTATCACAAAGGTTTCCATCACTCAACGTTTTGATATGCGACGAGAACCAGGAACATCCTCAACGCAAAATATGAATCTGCAAGAACCGCGGGAAGCATCAAGTTTATCTCGATATCCCATTACACAAAGTCGCATCGCGAAACGTTCTGATTTTCAATGTCCTAGCATTCACGAACTAGGTACATCTTTAATGCGAGATACCGATATACAAAAAACGTGGACAGCATCAAATTTATTATCAACTAGTCCTAAACCTCAAGATCGACATCCCATTACACAAATTCCTACCGCGCGGTGTTCTGATATGCAACGTCCTAGCATTCAAGATTTAAGTACATCTTTAATGCAGGATACCGATATACAAAAAACCTGGACAACATCAAAGCTATCAACAATATGTCTTAATTCTCACTCTCAACATCCCATCACGAAACGTTCTGATATGAAACTTCCTAGTATTCAAGAATTAGGTACCTTTTCAATGCAACATACGCAAGAATCATCTAGTCTGTTAATAACGCGTTCTAATGCTCAACGCCCGAATGATCAATGTACCAATTCTCAACGTACATATATTCACCGTCCTAATGCTCACCGTTCTAATTCTCAAGAAACCAATGATCAGCTTCCTGATATACAATATCCTAATACACAATATTCTAATACTCAACCTTCTAGTAAGCAAGAAACAAGTACATCATCAAATTCGTCAAACACTTCGTTGGCAAAACGTCCTAATTCCCAAGAACCGCGTGATGAAAAT